TGGCACAACTGGAAAACGAGGGACACAGGGCTCCTTAATCTCCTGGTGGAGAGGGGAGGACTGCCCGCTGTGCACATGGGTGTTCGGGATCAAGGGTCTGTCATGCATCTGGCTCCCCACCTCAAAGTTCAAGGAGAGGTCACCAGAAGGGAGGAGATCAGTTGGGTAGAGGGAAGAATTCTTAGCCTCGTCCGTGCAGCCCTTAGAGGAGGAGAATCTTAGACTAGAAGCTAGAAAGGACTTATCTTTACTTCTAAAGCCAAAAAGGCCAATATTCAAGCAGTAGAATGTGTTCAGTGTCAAGTGTACGTTTGTTATGAGTGAAAACATGTCCATCCATAGGAGCAGGTTTAATAAATATAACTAACATATGCAGAAAATGAAACGTTATACGGTCATTAGAAATGAGAAGGCAGCTTGGATTGAGTGTTGATATAAATTAATCTCCAAGATAAGTGAGAAATAAGGGTACAGAGTTAAGTGTGCTACCATTTTTTTTAAACACACGCACATAAAATACGTTTGGAAGAGAAGATATATCAGGCAGAGGACCTGGGTAACTGAGGGACAGATACGGGAAGGCAACTATTTTTCATCTATACCATTTTATACCTTTTGCATTTTATACCATGTGTATATATTATATGTTCCAAAAATCAATTGCTTAAAATAGTTATTATTTTTTATCTTTTTTTCCCCATTCACAAAGAGAAAATCCTGGCCCTTCCCAAATTATGTGGCCAGTATTAATATAACCTCAGCTCACTTCTCCTTTCTCCCTTTATTATATACCCAAATAAATAACTGTCCCAAAGATCAGCAACTGGAACGTGGGACAAAGCACCTCCATTTTACAGAACAATACTAGTAAAACATCGAAATACATGTATTTGGAAAAGATCTGAAAAACTGTACAGCAGTATTAACAGTGTTTATCTTGTGTTGGGTTTAATAGGTCATTTTGGTTTTGTCTTCATATTTTCTGTGATTTCCAAAGTTTATACAATAACAAATCTCACTTTTGTTATAATTTTTAAGATTAAAAAAAAAAACGCAACTTTTTGCTACTCACCTGGTTCCTGTCCCTGGCATTTGCATATCGAAACCTCTGGATGTAATAAAAGACCAGCCACGCGAGGGAGATAATCATCAAGACGATGAAGGAGATGGAGACGAACACGACCGAAGTGCGGCTCACGTATTTCTGCAAGTTCCGAGTTCCGATGGTGATGTACATCGTCACGGTGATGTTCCTTTCCAGCAGGCTGACTATCTCCTTCCCTTTTGGCTCAGGAATCATTATTGCCACGATGTCTTCTACACCTGTTGTGAGAGGGGCACAGAGGGGCCGATGCAGGTAGGGGGGTAAGAGGAGGAGGAGTCATAGTAAAATATCTGAATAAAGTAACGTGCAACCAAATAATGGCACTAATTTTGACAATTCTTTGCTGGGTCTAATAGCCAGGTCTAATTCTAAGATCTAACAGCCAGAAACGGAGTCAAATTGTATATTTCTTCAGCTACCTTGCGATGCTGCTATCTCGTATGTGAGAAATGAACCTACAATGAACTTCTAATTTTGGTGCCAGTGAGGTCATGATCAGGCTGCCCTCCAACTCTCTAAGGTGCTGTCAACCCTTCCCACTAGTCCAAGTTTACAGTCCTATGCTACATTTCACAGACCCACTCCCTCCCAGGAGGGGAAAAGGCACTCTGTACTCATGCAAAGGGTAAAACTCCCAGTTGTATGCCGTCTGCGAGCTCCTCCCCCGCCACACACGCACTATGAATACTTGATTACAGGTCTCTACTTAACATTTCCAAGGCAATTTTCCCCTACAGCGAGTACCCAAAGCAACCCAAAATAGGGTTTCTTAATGAGCTCTAATAAGATTTGCCAACATAAAATAATGGTCTCAGAACTATTTTCTGCTTATTTCACCCAATTCAATGTAAACAGCTGTGTATTCTCCTTCCAAATAAGGGAAGATGGAAGCCGTGTAGATAATTCCAGGATTGTTTTGTCTCTACTCCCCAGAACTCCCACCACCACGCCACTTCTTGGACAATTTGAAGCAAGAGTGGCAACTTTCTTGGTCTGAGTTACCTGGGTCATTGTCCCTATTCTTTATGACACTATGTGAGGCACTACCTCTTGGTGAGTTCTGGGGCTTCTACCAGGGGGCCTTTAGTTGGGATATAATATCAGCTCCAAATGAAGCAACTGGACATGTCGCTGTGATTGATCCATGGACCAGAATATCAGTTTCGCTAAGATGGATTCTCAGGGATCACCTCAATTCAAAATCATGCCTGCAAACCTCTTAATGGGCCCTACTTCCACATGGAAATATCCTATTACCTGAGGTCATTACAAATTAAAGAGAGTAAATTTGCAATTAGGATGTTGTCATTTTGAGACAAAATTAAAGACACCTATAGCTGCTTAAAGCCTGCTGTATTCACATGCTGAGGTCAGCCAGCTAGACAGAACTACCAGATTGTATTTGCTCAGGGTGTTTTTAAACAAGTCTCTTAAAAGGTTCTTAGGGCTTTCACTTGATCTTGATCTCTACGCAAGTTTTCAATCCTAAATTCCTCGAAGCTCTTTCACTTAGGCTGAATAAATACTGTAAAAGCTAACTATACACAAAGGTGCCTGTGTACGCTATATCAATTATATATCTTTTAAAATTCCAAAAACCTTTGCATTGGCCCAACTGTAAACCACAAAGCCACACAGTGTTTAGATTTGGCTGTTATTTCTGGGAATTATTGAAACTGATGGCTTGAATTTCAACATTGCAGAATTTACGGACAATTGCGATGCACTTTCTCTTTCCATGTTTACTTTGGCCAATGGCTACATGTGGTCTGAGGTTTGGCGAGGAATTAAGGCTGCTGGCAGGTGTTGTCTCTACAGAAATATGATCTTTGTGTACTGAACTAATCTGGCCTGGTGAGGCTCATATTAGTGCTATAGCCATTTTATAGATATTTAAGTAGCGGCAGAATCATAACCTTTCACTTCATTTATCCTCTTTATATTTTTTAAGCATGCCTATTTAAGATTCTAGAATAAGATTTTTTTTTTTTTGAGAAAGGGACTTCGGAGTTATTTATAAGACTATGTATGCTCAGACTTGCACAAGTTTTACATTTTTTAGTAGTCAAATTTGAATAATACATTCCTTTATGGCTTCTAGTTCCAATACTCTGCTTAGGAACCTCTTTTTCACCAAAGATGACAGAAACATTCACCTAAAATTGCTTTTCAAAAACTATTAGTGTTACTTCTTACATATAAGTCTTGAACAACCTAAATGTGATTTAATAACACAACATATATTGAGCTCTTATAATGCGATGGGCAGAGAGAAGACAGAAAGGATGCAATTTATTTTTCCCCTAAATTCTCAGACATATTTGGGTCAACTTTTGGATTTTAGTTTAATGTCACGTTGACCTATCTTTTCCTGAGCCAGGCTTAGTCCTCTAGGCTTTTAACATATTTACTCTCTGGAAGCCTAACCCTTCACTAATTTTCCCCTTACAATTTTCCTATTATCTATTTATATTAAGAGACCATAGAGCCTAATGGTAAAGAGTTGGGGTCTGGAACTAGATAGCTTGTTTTGAACCCCAGTTCAGCATTTTAAAAACAGGCAACTAAATTTGGGCTATCCACAAAGTTCTAAATTACTAAATTACTCAGCATCCATTTTGAAGAAACTGAGAAATCATTCTCTCTTCCTGTAAAGTGTAATGAACTATTTAAACCTAAGTGCTTAGTTACACTGCCTGTGCTGCTCATACTAATGTTGTGTCTTTCTGAGATGACACCTGCTTGCAAAGACTGAAAATGGCAGTGGGGAGGTTCTATCTACCTGGACTTCAACCTTATTCATCTTCAATATTCATGATGAATTTCTAAGGCTGATGATGATTAAAAAAAAATAGATGGAATTCGGATATATTTTTCCATGCACTTTAGGCTAGGCATTGTGCGCAGTGAACAGAGATACCAAGGGTATGTGTTTATCCTCGTAGAAATAGTCATTAAGAATTTAGGTACAAAGGGCATCCCAAAACGGTACAATGTAAAGTGGATTTGGATTAATTATCTGACCAGTCTGATCAATATCCAGGGCAAAAAGCTACCATAGGATCAAATCTGTTCAAATGAGACATGTGAGTCAGCAGACAATTCCCCGATCTTCACTTCATTTTGGAATATGCAGCCGTGTGTGTCAGGGGAGCCAGGAGACTCCCCAGGTCCCTTGCAGTGGAATTGCTTCTGAGGGTGTGTGTGAGGGGATGGAGTGGGGAGAGGAGGGCTGAGGTGAATGTGGGGAGGGTGCTGAAAGCCCAGCTGAGTGTTCTCCTTAGAGTTAAATGCTACCCTCAGTATCTAACCTATGATACACCGGAGGCTCTGAGGCCCAGGGAAGAGAAGTTAACCAACAGCGTATTTTGTATGGGTCGAATCTATAAGGAGGCCTTGCTATTTATTTGGGCAATTCTATTTTTACTGTGACATCTAGTCTCTCTATTATCAATTGCCTCTTTCTGCATAATCGTGTTAGCCTGCCATCTGCTTTTCCGAGTGATCACTATTATGTAATTATTGTGTCTTCTGGAAAAGCTCTTCAGCCCTGCAAGAGAATGTGTGACCAAGACACACACGACCTGGCCACCAGACAAACACCAGGAGCACCCTGTATATTTAGCGCTTCCTCTTCTCAGGAGACTACTCAATCGCCATGATCTAATTTGGTGTATGCAGCTAAGTAAGAAATCAGAAGTTCGGAAAGCCAAAGAATGGTCGATAACCAGGAAATCCTTTACTTATAAATTTAAAATAGGTTGTTTAAACATTGACAGACCGTCTCGCACACCAGCAGAGTGCTGGACATTTCACAGAGCCTGGGGCCCCAGTGCTCCCTATGAATGCCAGAGCACAGCAACATCTCTCCCAGGTTCACGCGAGCAACAATCCTCCTTCAGTTCTCTGCATCCTCTCTCTCCCCTTATCTTTGCTTTAGTCTCACCGATGGCCCTTTAGAACGTAGGCAATACTAAGAAAAGGCTGTGGTTTTCATTTACAGATATTTTCTATTTACACACTTAATATCTATTGTATTTTTTTACAGTCAGCTCCCGATGATCATCTAGTTTCATGTGAGATAATGATAATGTATGTAAAATAACTGTTAAAACTGCAAAGTACCATATAAATGTAAAGCATTACCATTTCCTGCATTGCTTTAAAAATATTTTTAATAAACGTAGATGCCAAAATCCTCAATTAAGCATTCACAAACAGACTCTGATAATATAGTAAAAAAAATCTTCATGACTAAGTGAGATTTATCCTAGGAAGATGATGGTGAATTACCATTAGAAAATATATTAATACTTTTTAGAACATTAACGAATGAAAGGAATAAAGCATATGATTATATTAGTGTAGCTAGCTGTCCTCCAACATCTGGTCTGATACTTCTATAGTACTAGTGTTCTGGTCAGGCACAGGCTATCCAGCAGTTAACCTCAGCCTCCCTTGCAGCTAGCTGTCACTGTGAGATTAATATTTCACTTTCGAGATGTGAGTGGAGATGATGTTGGCTCCTCCAACATCTTATTCATAAAGAAACTGAATATGAGCACCCTAGATTCTGTCTCCTTTTTTCTCTGACTTCCAATAGAGAGATATGGAACAGTCAGCTTCTTAGAGAAGAAAGCTGTATGTTAAGGATGGCACCCATTCCTGATTCTTATTAAGAGTTAAATACTATAAGGAAAGTCCCTTAATGTGAAAAAGAGTATCTTTCAGAAATAGTACATTAAATGGAGCAGAAAAAAACATCAGAAGTTTTCCAGTTTGAATCATGAGTAAGACAGGGATGAGCCAACATGTAAAGTGGAAGTCAAATCTGGTGCAAAGAGACATAGATATTAGAGAGGTAAATATTGGGAAGGAAGAAGGCAAACTGTTGTTATTTGGGAGATCACATGACCACTTAAAAAAGCCAAGATGATTTAACTACTAAAATCAGAAGGATGTTGAGTAGAATATAAGATTCAAGATCAAAATACAGCTAAAAAAGTGAAGCTTTCTAGGTGATGTAAAATACAGCATAGGGGGTATAGTCAATAATATTGTAATTACTATGTATAGTGCCAGGTGAGTACTAGACTAATTGGGAGGATCGCTATGTAAATTATATAAATGTCTAACCACTATGCTGTACACTTGTAACTAATATAAAATATTTCTGAATGTCAACTGTAATTAAAAATACAAAAGAAAAGTTAAAATA